CTCCATCTGGCGTTATGCAGTTCCACCTTCTGGCAGTCAGAGGTTTAGGGACATCAACAACATAGTGTTGCATCTTTGACCATCTTGCCTAGTGGCTAGATTTTAGTGAGAAACATTGTTAAACCATCAAAACGTAGGTTTGCTTTCTTAAGATAATAGCAGCTTTTGAAGCTTGCATATGCTCGGTCTTCTGTATTTGGGAAACAAGCTACTCACATATTACTGCTTCAAACTCTCATCAAATGCTCGGTGCTGTATTTAAAGGGATGGCTCCCACAAACCAAATTGCTAATACTAAAACAAATATAAAATGAACTTTCGTGAGCTGAGCTATACAAACCCCACACTGTGGGACAAGGGTTTAAAGAACTACTCTGAGTCCCGCTGGCCCCATCCTGCCCCACCTGTAGCAAGTGTGCCAACTGGAGATGGAGTTAAAGGGCTGGGGAACAGACCATGGAGGACAGCAGTCCTTCAGCTCTCGGAGAGTCTGAGAGAGAAACTCTTTGTCTCCTTCGCATACAAACTCTGGACTTGGTTAATTCCCTTTATTTTTGTTTGGAGTACAGCAAGGGAAAGCTCTAGGCCAGGCCAGGACGGTAGACCATTTCCACAGTCTTAACCTGGATGGTGGCCTAGGGACAATCATGGGGAAGGGGCGGAGAAGGTTCAGAAAGTGGCCTAGGGAGGGCAGCCTGAAGCATCCCCGGCTGTCAGATCACCGATAGCACTCAAAGGGTGTGTCTAGACTACATGCCTCCGTCGATGGAGGCATGTAGATTAGACAGATCGGCAGAGGGAAATGAAGCCGCGATTAAAATAATTGCGGCTTCATTTAAATTTAAATGGCTGCCCCGCTCTGCCGATCAGCTGTTTGTCGGCAGATCGAGGCAGTCTGGATGCGCCACGTCGACAAAGAAGCCTTTCTTGATCGGCACAGGTAAACCTGGTTTCACGAGGCTTACCTGTGCTGATCAAGAAAGGCTTCTTTGTCGACGTGGCGCGTCCACACTGCCCCGATCTGCCGACAAACAGCTGATCGGCAGAGCGGGGCAGCCATTTAAATTTAAATGAAGCCGCGATTATTTTAATCGCGGTTTCATTTCCCTCTGCCGATCTGTCTAATCTACATGCCTCCGTTGACGGAGGCATGTAGTTTAGACGTACCCAAAGGGCCCTGAGTTGGATCCTGGTGGAGTGGGAGAGCCTGGGCTTCCCTACCAACAACCCTCTGAAATTCACAGGCCTCTTGGCAGTGCTCCCCCACCTACTGTGTACTCTCATGATCCCAGTCGCCCAGTTCTAAAGGCAATTGTTGCCAAACACATTTTTATGTCAAAGTACTCTCAATAAAGTTTTTAGGTTATTTTAAAAAATCCTAAAGGATTTTCTCAGAGACTCAACCATACCGTGAGATTCTTAGTATCAGATCTCTTAGCCACTAGTTTTCTCTTCCCATCCAGGCAACACAGGTCATTCCAAAGTACAGCAAAATAAAGTGTGACTTCTTTACATTACCAGAACAAACAGACCCTATGTCTAGTGTTGCTTACTCCCTTTCTATTACTAATTCCAGACACTCTGAAGAAAGGAGGTATGTGTGTACAAGAGAAGTTTTACAGTACATATTAATAGGGAGAACATAGATAAGGTATTCTGGTAAAAAAATAATTGAAGACAAATAAGGCTTGTGTGCTGGGATTTTCAAATTTAATACTTGCTATTTCCATCAACCATTCATATGATTAATTGACAAATGTGTATAGTCATAAAAGGGGGTCTGTTAAGCAAACAAGTGAATGTGAGCCAAATAAATTAATTCTCAAACATGAAAAATTACATGGAGTCTGTGCTGTTGTATCATATACAAGGGGTGCACAAATAATGCAGATGCAGTAGTTATCCATAAATATTCAGAAATTTAAAAGAATCCATTTCAGATGCTCCATAGCCCTTCTGTTTTCATAAAGCAAGCTTTCAAGTGATCAAGTCTTCCTGGGAAGGTGATTAATAGAAATGTATCTGAGTCACATGTGCAAGTGCTTGTGGAAACCATATTTTGAAAGTAACACATAGGTTTTCATGGTGCAAAATGTAGTCATCCAAGGAATAGAAACAAGACCATTTCTAACTTGCCACAAGTAAAAAAAGGTTTAAATTCAGATTAATAATTGATCCATGCAGTTCATTATTCAAGGTTTGTCCATTAAATTCCCAAAACTGGTAAGAATACAAGTTTTTTGTGTGTGTATTTTCTTTTATCAGAAGGGAACCAATAAAAAAATAACAACTTAGCTCTATTACATGCTGAAATGTAAGACAACTATGCACATGGCTGACAGGACTAATATTCAGATCTTTATCCTTCTACTAAGAGTAGCATAGATCAATACCATGGGATTTAAAAGTAGGATAGCGTTTTTTGGAATTATGGAGATCTAAAAAAATCAAGATGGTAACATTTGGTGTTAGAAGAGGCTTGATATGAAAAGATGCATGTGAAGAGTTAGCTTCATATTGCCACGAACATTTCCTAATGTGCAGTTTTGAAGAGTTGAAGAGGCAAAAGAGAACCCCCAAACTAAAACCTACATACCATTAATTGTATTATAGCATAAAAGAAGTCAAAAGGAGAAAAATGGAAAAAAAACCTAACGTTTTTAAAGTTTTGAAAGTACAAGGATAAAGTGAATGGAAACCTAGTGTCAGTCATTTTTTGATATATGATCGCACTAGGTTTGCACACTGTTGAGATTAGTGTGGGCAACCTTTTTTATGTTTGGTGGATGAACAGAGAACTTGATCCTCCCATGAGCAGATATTAATTCACATAACACCACCCCTCCACTCAAAGAATCTCCAATCGTAGGCTGAATTGAAGTAATAACACTTTTCATGCAATTTCTAAAAAAAGAGTAATTTCCAAGTATGAACACTAACTTACAGCCCTGCTTCAGAAAAACTTAAAATTCTGTTCTAGGTCTGTGCTTTGTATTCAGTTACATAAAGGCTAATTTCATCTTTGGTGTGATTCAGAAAATGCTGGTGACTCATCAAGTTACAGCAACAAAAATCAAATAATTCACCAGTACCAAAAATAACCATGCTATTGTGTCTGCTATATAGTTCTCTTTCAATCTGTAATTGATGATTTGCTCAAGAAGTTTACTTAACTACATTCTCCTGCTTCCTTTAAACTTTGAAGCCATTTCTAAACTTAGCTGTTTTCAGCTATTGAAACTCTTTTCCCTTTCAGGAGCCACTCAGATGGCTCATCAGGTTGATAAGTGACAGCACTGTAGAGCAATTTCTGAATCGTGACTACAAACACTGATACACACACACAATGTGAGGTCTAAGGATTCTTCCCACTGGTAAGTCAATATATATGATACGAAGGTATAGAAGAAAAGTGAATGATACTGCATTCTGGAGCTTTGATATCTATTTGTCGGTAGCTCTCTGTCAACAGGGGGCAATATCTTGCCATTTGAATGCAGTAGTACCTAGAGAGCCCAGCCAAGATCTCCATTATGCTAGGCAGCATGCACAAGTAAGAGAGTCCCTGCCCCAAAAACCTTACAATTCTGGACAAGACAGCAAGTGCTATCCCCTGTATATGGATAAGCAACAGATAAAGCAGAACCAGATTCATGGAGAGACCATCTACTTGGTGGCTAGACTAACCAAGCCTCTGTTATGTATATTACTGTAGTGTGACTCATTATAATCTCTAGACAGCAGTTCTATGAGAAGCAAAACACAGCCACCCCCGGCTGAGCCACTGGATCAATACTAACTTTGTCTCACTATGAAGTTTCTTTTGACATGTCTTATGCATAAGGGAAAAGTACATAACATACTTAGTGATAGAAATGTAGCCGTGTTAGTCTGGGGTAGCTGAAGCAAAATGCAGGACAATGTAGCACTTTAAAGACTAACAAGATGGTTTATTAGATGATGAGCTTTCGTGGGCCAGACCTAGTCTTTAAAGTGCTATATTGTCCTGCATTTTGCTTTAACATACTTAATACTCCCAGGAAAAAGATTTTTGCTTATTATGTTATGTTTTGCCATGAGTGGCCATTTAGCGGCAAAACTAGCCTTGCACTATATGACTGGAAGCATGACTACTGGATGCTAAATAACTTAGGGATGTTGCTGAGCATTAGCTAGGCCACCTTTACTATTCCTCCCTCATGTATGTGGGAATTCACACCTTGGGTGTCCTTGAGAACAGTTAGGGAGGTTGCTTTTGATATGCAACAGAGGACACAATACGTGCTGGTCACTGTTTCTTGTTACTTGGCAACAGTCTTTTTTCTCTTAGCAACAGAATGGAATAGCTTTGGAAGAGCGAAAAAAAGACAGAACATGAAAAGTGAAACCTTCATTTCATTGTGGACATGATCTTGAAGCCAAAATTGGTTTAATTTTTAGGTTTGAAGGAAAAGGATGTGTATAAACTAAACTTATAAAACCAGGCAAACTTTTAGACGATAGGCTTTTTGGGGGCTGCGGCTGTCAGTTTATGTTGTGACTCTAGATACAAACAAGTTAAAAAGCATTAACTACATGATTCTTTAATTTCACATGTGAATTCCTTTGTCATGAACATCTATTTATGAAATTTACAGGGCATCAGAATATATAAATACATTTCATTTATGAATTATGTTTTGTCTCCTCACCATCTGTATCATGAAATAATCTAGCTGTTGTCTGCAAATTCAGCGGTTGCTCACAAACAAAAACAAAACACCCGCTCCCCAAAAGAAACCCAAGCAAATGACTAGGGTTATTTATTTCAGGACAGAACACAGCCTTATACCTATTCCTGGCCTATTAAGATGTTTCTCGTTCATCAGAGCTAGGTTCTGGTTTTGTCCTGGGCTGTTCATCTCCTGTCTTCTCTGTTTCTGGTTTGGAACTCATTTTCCTATAACATCTTAATGTTATCTTACTGTTGCTGCTTCATTTAGGTGATTTGAACCAGGCTCACCACTGCAGCTGGTGGAATGCTCGTTTGTACAATTGTCCTTCTCACCCTGTTCTGGAGCTCATTCCAGCTTCTCCTGGGAGCAGACACAGAGATAAGGTTTTTGACAGACCCTGACAAAGAAGCAGTACAAAGAATTCAAGAAATGTCTGTGGCTGATGGATTTGGCTGAAGCAAAGCAAGTAAGAAATATCAATGAGCCACTGATTTAGTTACTTCCTCAAACATCTAAATCAGTAAGGGTCAGCAATGATAATCAACAAATATCCAAATATTTTAGCAATATTTTATGGAAAAGACTCTTTCTCCCCCAAATGCCTTGTAAAAGTAAACTGCAAAATTAAGGTTAGAGCTCAGGATGAACTACATATGAAGGTTAGGCAAAGGAGATATTTTATTTTTAGAGTAAAGGACAAAAAAACTTCTGTACACGAGGAAGCAGAGACTGGTATTCAGGCATGTTCCAATCCATTCCAAGCTATGCCACCTTTGCAAGTGGGAATGGGATACATGGCACAGCTATTTCCTATGGCTTTGTTCCTCTCTGCCCAGGAAATCAAGGTGTAAGTCCACATTAATAGAATAAATGGAATCGTCAGCTGGAAACTGACTGGGAACTTGTTTTCCTATGCAGAGAACTAGAAACTCACTCATGTAAGGTGGCTCAAGTTTTTACATGACATTTTAACACTCTACCATCTCTTTTCAAATTTATTTTTATTATCTGTTTTGCCATTGGAGCACTTTCCCACTCAAGAAGCATTTATATTTGAGAGTAAAATACATCTTTTCTTCATCCCAGTTGCATGCCCTATAAATCACAACTGCTGATTTAACCAAACAGAGCTTTCATCTTTAAGATCAAAACACCCAAATAGAGTCATCTTCCTCATAGATATCCAGTCTTAGAGGTATGGCCATGTTAGTTTGTAACTGAAAAAACTTAAAAAACAAAGAATGGTCCTGCAGCACCTTAAAAACTAACAAAACATGTAGATGGTATAATGTGTTTTTGTGAGCACAACCCACTTCTTCAGATGAATGGAGCAAGGGGTCCAGAGTCACAAATAAATAGCAAAGAAAGAGGGGATGGGGAGAGAAAGAGAAGAGCAATAAAGAAGAGAAAAGCAATGAAGCATGTGTGTAGGACAATGTAGCTGGAGAGTAGATAAATAGTGTCACTTACCTTACTATGCCATTTTTAGCACCTCCAGAACCCATGGTAGCAGATAGCCAGAAGATGCCCTGCTGTGACACAAGTAACAAGACGGAAGTTACTGGTGTATAGAATACAGAAAGTAATCAAGTCCCTTTAAAACAAAATTAAACTGTTTAAAAAACTCCTATTTTCTATGTTGCAAGCAGTGGTTAGAGATTAAATAATCATAATACTGTTTTTCAAAATCTGATACTGGAACAAAGATTATGGATAACATTATCAATTTTTCTCTAACAAGTTAGGAATTATCTTTCTCTGTTAGGCAAAGTCAAAGGGGCAAAAAAGGCAAATTAAAAATAAGATATACAACAGAAAACAGACAAATACAAATTTGTATCTTAATGGTTTTGTGATAGGTAGCTCAAGGTTACTATTTGCATTATTTATTCGGTGTATCTTTGTTTAATGTCCCTTAGTCACTTATATAAAGTATATTCTGTGATCTGAAAGATATGATTGTGAGAATGATTTTTCTTTAGGACCTGAAATTCAGCTGAAAGTATGTGAAAACTTGTCATAGAATCATAGAACACTAGAACTGGAAGGGACCTCGAGAGGTCCAGTCCCCTGCCCTCGTGGCAGGACCCATCTAGACTATCCCTGATAGATGTCTATCTAACCTGCTCTTAGGGTACGTCTAGCCCTGGGATGAGGCATACCTGGGAGGTTGACAAATGCCTTTGATGTCGAACGCGGAACGTCAAGACTACTGCGCTGAGCCAACAAACAGCTGATCAGCTCAGCGCGGCAGCCATGTAAATTTAAACGAAGCGGTGATTATTTAAATCTCCGCTTCACTTTCCTATGCTGGGTAGTCTAATCTACATGCCTCTGTCGCCAGAGGCATGTAGTCTAGATGTACCCTTAAATATCTCCAGAGATGGAAATTCCATAACCTCCCTAGACAACTTATTCCAGTATTTAACCACCCTGATAGTTAGGAAGTTTTTTCTAATGTCCAACCTAAACTTCCCTTGCTTCAGTTTAAGCCCATTGCTTCTTGTCCTATCCTCAGAGGCTAAGGAGAACAATTTTTCTCCCTCCTTCTTGTGACACCCTTTTAGATACCTGAAAACCGCTATCATGTCACCTCTTAGTCTTCTCTTTTTCAAACTAAACAAGCCCAATTCTTTCAGTCTTCCTTCATAGGTCATGTTCTCTAGACCTTTAATCATTCTTGTTACTCTTCTCTGGACTTTCTCCAATTTCTCCACATCTTTCTTGAAATGTGGTACCCAGAACCACTTTATGCGGTTATAAAGTTTTTAGTTTAATTCACCAATGGTGGCATTGTACTGATGCTGGACATAGGTTTTCAATTGCACCACATAGCAAAAAGCCACTGAGACCTTTGGTTTGTATATGCAGATAGTAGTTCAAAGGTTGTTTTTCTCTAGACACCTTTGGTGAGATTATGTGCAGTCTACTATGCCCATTTTTCAGCACCTCAATATTGAAAAAATAAGGCTAGACTAATTCATTCAAGCACAAATAAAATTACCCAAGGGCTATGCTAGAGAGCAGTAGATTTTAGAATGAAATTTGATTAACCCGTGGGCCTAGTGGGTTAACTTAAATGCATTTAAGAATGTGAATGTTAAGCCATAGCAAGAAGAATTATTTAGGACCATGCAAGATATAAACTATGGCCTGAATTTTCTGCTTGCTGCTGTAGAGATGATAGTCAATTTAGCAGATAAAATGATTGTGTGTGGAAGGGCTATTTTTCCTATTTTTTCCTTCACAGAGAAAATTTCGCTTTTCAAATAGTTGCATTTCATCATTTGCATGATGAAAAGGTGTGTAGATTATTGAAAATTATATATATTTGCTCCCAAAGAGATCCATGGACATGATGGGTGACCTTGTGCAAGCAACCTCATGCTGTGTCTCAATCATTCCATCAGCAAAATGAGGAGAATGATACTTACCTTCTTTGCAGAGCACCAAGATAAATGTGTGAAGAGCAATTTAAGAAGTGGGCATTCATATGGCTATGTTAATCTCAGTTTTTGCATGTAAATATTCACAAAAGGTGAAGAGTTTAAGAGGCTAGAAGAGCTATTCAGAAGTCATCTCTGAGTTCTGTTTTTACTTAGCTGCTGGACTGAAAAACAGACTCATATGCAGATGTTATCTGCTGTCATTCTGTTGCCTTTCATCAAATGAGCTGCTAAATCTGTCTCTGTTTCCTTTATCTGGTCTAGGAACCACATGACATTTTCAATCTTAACTGTTGTGATAAAGGAAGATTAAAGGCCAATATCAACTAGATTTGGCTTAAAATTGGGGATGTTATACCTAAAGTTGTAGGACTCTAGTGGAAACTTTTTCACATTACAAAGAGCTAAACTACATATTTTATATATGCACATTACACATCATGCATATTTCAATACATATCATATTATGGCTGAGATTTCTCTGGTATATTTCTCCCATTAACATGATCAGTGAAAATCCCCCAAATATCACTCATTTTAATGTATCACTCACATCCATACTCTTTGTTATAAAAGCTGTACTTTGAAATTTTAACCGATCAACATACTATGCTCAAATCAGTAGGTATTTGTGTCATGAATTGTAAGTTATTTTTGTTGCATTTCTAATGTATGGGTGGCCAAGAAATTGTGACAGCAATTTTAAACAAGTAAAAAAGTATCACTCTTAGCACTTGCTACTTAACTATTTTTTCTTGTAGACTGAAAGCGTCGAAATTGTTTACCTGCCTTATAAGATCATAACAATATTCAGAGGAATACCTCCTTATTATGAAAAGCTAGGGGATAGTCAAAGTTTATCCTAAAATGGAACTTTCTAGTCCCAAATCAAAACTAGACTAGAACTAGAAAACTATAATCAACACTACCATTATATTTTTATATGCAACATACGGAAAGCGTTGGCAATATTTACATAAGCCGTGTCTGGCAAATTAATAACAGAACTGAAAGAAATATGTATTTCCCCTAAGCTGCTACTGCCAACAGCAGAGAATAAGAACAAAAATGAGAGCTCAGTTTAAAAAACAAAAAGTTCTGATCTTATTCTTGGCACTAATCCTTTGAAATTTTATCAAATTACTTAATATTTTCTTACAGTGCATTTCCCTGTTTATACCCATTGCATGGAGAATAAAAATATATTCCATCTGTTTTACTATGTACCATTATGAAAAGTGGGAATAAAGTAGATGGAAGCTGATATTTAAGTGCAAATTTCTTATTAATACTAGAAGCTTTTATCAGTCTAGTAACAAATATTCTTGCAATTTACCACCCAGAGGGAAGAGCAAGAAGTAGTCAGGAATTCAAGAGATGCTGTCTGTTGCCACTATTTTAAAAAAGGGGGTTGCATTTACCTAAAATCTTTTATATAGGGGAACTATAAAAACGTTATGGCAATTCATCAGTTAGCTTTATAAAATCAGTCAGATAGTTATCCTCTTTATGCAAATAAGACCACAGTGAAGAGGTTAAGATCATTTCAAAGAATGACTATTAATTTGGGATGCACAATGAGAAGCACCAATGTAGCTTAATTTTTGAAACTATTGTCTTCTTACAGTCCCTATAAGAATGAGTTCTGGGAGCCTGTCACTTTTATAAATCAGGCTCAAGTTTCTCAACCAAAAGTAGAAGCACCTAAAATCAGTGCCAATATTCCCCACAGTGGAACAGTAAGTCAATATTCAAGGAGCAGTACCCTGAAATGCAGATAACTTATTTTTCAAGAGTAACATTTGAGGACCATTGATCTGTTTATAAAATAAAATAAAATAAAATAAAATAAAATAAAATAAAAAGATCTGAAAAGCATTTGATTAGGATTTAAAGCTATATGGCAATTTATCTTCTTCAGGATTAGCAAACCAGTACGTCATTGACACTGCAGGGCTTCCAGCAACAAAAAGTTTTACCAATTCTTATACTGTACTGAAGACACTACCCATTTTCCATACTGAATGAAAGAAAGGAACTAAAGTGGTTATATTATACAAAATAGAAACCTGAAAGGTATTTTAGTGTATTTTGGTGAGAGTCTGGAGATTACAAAGCAGGCAGAGTCTACAGGTGACTGGAGCAGGAACTTGTAAAATCATGAAAAGAAGAGTTAAAATTCCAGCAAGGGATGCTTGGGTTGGACATTTGGAAAAAAAACTAACCTTTCTAACTGCCAAGGGTAAATGAATTACCTTGGGAGGTTGTGAAATCTCCACCACTGGAGATTTGTAAAAGCAGATTAGACAAAAACCTGTCAGGGATGATTTAGACCAGGGGTGGGTAAATACTGGCTTGCAATCTGAATCCAGTCCACCAGGGTTAGCCCTTGGTGGGCCCCCACTCCACTGTATTTACCTGCATCTCCAAAGTTACAGAGGATCACAGATAACCATTCCCAGCCAATGGGAGCTGTGATCACCCATACGTGCAGAGGTGCAGATAAATATAGTGGCAGCAGCCAACCAGGGGCTAACCTGGTGAACCGCCACTGTTTTATTGCCCACACAAGGTCGAGATGGTACTTGGTCTTTCCAGGAGTGCAGGAGACTGGTCTCTATGACCTCACCAAGCTCCTTCCAGTTCTTTGACTCTATGAAAACAGAGGAAGCTGGCAACCATGAAAGTGGCTGTGGCAGTCAAGCCGACATCCATATTTTAATTGTTCAAGTTAATTTAGGTTTTAAATGCACCAAGAAGACTAATACAAGTAAGAATGAAAAACATACAGCAAAATTTAAGATGAAGTGGCACATGTGTCACACAGCCTTAACAAAACTGAGAAAAGTTTCATCTACTTAAGTCTCCACACTAATGCAGAAATAGTCCCTTATGTATAATTCATTGTCAGTGGAAAGATATTCCAAAAGGGAAACAAAAACAAGGATTGAATTTCTGAGGTTTGTGGTCAAAGGAGCGTGAGTTGTTGTTGATAAAAATAAGAAGGGTTTTTGCTATAACTTAATACAAACATTGCTAGTAGAGATTAGCAAATAACTAGCAACAAATACACCTAGTTTCCCTATTTAAGTGTGAGGACAGCCCAATCATATTTCACAGGCCCGCCAATGGGGGGAGAGGTGCAAATGGACAACAGTCCTTGGCCACAACTGTGGCCGTAGCCCCAGACCCTTTAAATAGCTGCTGGAGCACTGAATCAGTGCTCTGAAGGTTTTTGGGGCTGCTGTGGTCTGTGCAGTGCTGAGGGTTGGCTGACCCCAGCCCTGTCTCTTCTGCCCAAGGCATCATCCTTCCTGGAGGCCTGGAGCCAGTCTCTCTTCACTCCCCCAGACCTTACCCAGGGATCCAGACATTATTGGTTCACCTGGTCTTTCATCATCCATGTCACTGTAAATAATTCCCTAATTTGTTTAGTAAATAATTCTTAGTCTCCAGCTACAGGGGGCAAATGGTTCGTTCTAAAAATTTGCAATACACACCAGTCACATAAAAATGTTTCTGTTCCCTGATATGGTGACTTCTTGAACTATCATAGTGTTGTAAATACTAACTTCTAAGAAATTCTCTATGGTAAATTCACTTGAGTGATGAAACCACATAAAGGTGTATCCACTTTTTAAAAATCTCAAAAAATTAAGTGGGTTGCAAGTAATGCATAGGCCTAGACTAGGCACTATGTTGCAGGGACTATTTCCCACTTGACAAATTTTCCAATGTAAAGCCATGTTCCATGAGTCTGATTGTTAGTAAAAAGTTTATACATTTGACTCTTCAATGAAAGGAACAATGGAGTTACAAATGTTGTAAAAATCAAAAATTCCAATTCAAATGTATTTTTTGCAGAAAAGGATTTCACTAGTTTCTCAGCAAAAGATATACTCAGGAGGAACTGGAAATTTTATGGTTAGCAGAACAAAAATCCTTAGCCAGGTTAAAACAAAGATCACCCTTTCACAAAGCTCGAGCTGATATGCTAACTATAGCATTCAGTCCTACAAACAGATGCCTCTGTTTTTGCAAGATTCAAATAGGTTTGCCAGGTGTCCGGTCTTGGACCGGACAGTCCGGTATTCACAGCTTCTGTCTGGTAAAAAAAAACCAGAAATTACTGGACATATAAAATGTCTGGTATTTTCTGTTTTTTGTTGGATGGAAAGCTGCTTGGGACATTCTTCCCCTGCCATGTCTGGAGCGGGTGGTGGGAGTGGGGGCATGTAAAGGCACCATGACTTTTTTTTTTTTGGTGCAGGGTTTTTTTGGGGGGGCTCAACAACTTTGGTCCCCGGTTTTTTTTTATGTGAAACTATCTGGCAACCCTAGATGCAAAATATCCTTAGTCCTCACTGACTAAGAGTTAGGGGCTGTTGATTTTTGTCAGTGCCAATATCTAGACTATTATATAAAGCACCAATTATTTAACTTAGGATCTTATGAAATAGTATCTTTTTGCTATAAGCTCAAAGACCTTAGCTAACATAATTAGCAAGAGGATTTTAACAGCTATGTATTTATACCTCTGAACTTGCACCAGCATCATTGACGAAATCCTCAAAAGTAAATCAAATATTGTGGACTTGTGTACACGGTGCATTCGTCTGACCTACAAAGGTGTACATTAAGGGTGAGGAATCTTTCTCATGCCAGCCACATGCGGTTCATCCAGGTTAGCTCCTAACAGGCCAAGAGATAGTTTGTTTTCCTGAGCGTCTGCAGGTACAGACCCCTGCATCTCCCAGTGATGACAGTTCACCATTCCCAGCCAATGGGAGCTGTGGAAAGTGGCGTAGGAATGTAGAGAAACATTATATCTTACAATCATTTTGATGGGTCACTGGTAGATTTTCCACTTCCCTAACAGCTCCTTAAATCCAAAATACAGCTCCGTTTTTTGTTAGTCTTGACTGATATATGCAGAAGTGATAAATTAACAATAATAAGGCCAACATTTTCAGATCTGAGTACCGAAAGCTAACAGTTGAAACAAATTGGTGTCACTGTCTAAAAAGCTGACCACCCATAGTTCAGCAATAGCAATAGTTGTTGTGGAAACTGAAAAGTTAGGCCATATCTATTTAGGTGCTTAACACTGGGTCGTAAAATTATAACTTAGTGACATTTGAAGATAGCATCTTGATCTATGAATAGGAATATATATATATCAAGACATTCAATGCCATTTTTTATAAATCAGTGTCACTGAGTTTCAGAGCAATAGCCATGTTAGTCTGTAACTTTAAAAACAGCGAGTAGTCCTGTGGCACCTTAGAGACGTGTTATCTACCATATAATCAATCATAAAGCTATTAATACAGAGGAGAAACAACTGGATAAAACTTATTTAAGGATTACAACCTAGAATGAATGCCATGAATAGTTCTATCATTAGGGTACTCACTTTGTGCATTGTGTTAATGGTGACTGAAATTATAAGATATTGTTTCTGATTCCTGAAAGGATGATTTCCAAACTCTCAGTATTTCCAGAATAGCCAGGCAGAATCCTCTGGTTTGAAATGTGATGCTCATGTGGTTGCATGAATATTCACTGTGTACCTCTTCTTTGTATGATACACTTTCCAATGAAATCTCATACACATCTTCTGAGTTGCAGATACAATTAAGTGAATCTGTGGTACATTCTTCTAGTGAGCATTCACAACTTATATTGTGTAGCATTCACTTAGCTCTAAATCACAGTAACTGAGTAGTGATAAATTCAGTATTTCAAGCCAATTCCAAGAGAACTCTAAGCACAATTAGAACGACAACATCCAAGAGTGCCCAAATGTTGGCAGTATGTCTTATTGGGTTCCTGTAAGTAAACCTAAAGCCACTTTCTGGAGGCTGACATTTTAAAAGGCAATTATTGAAGTAATTACTTGGGTTTTTTTTAAGTGCAGACAGTGGTTTTTCTGTTACTGAAATGAGCAACTGTGTTTGTCAATGTTATTTGCCACAGCACTGAATGACTTTCAAGTCCAATTAAAGGCCACATTATTGATGATCTATGACTCAAAGCTCCCTTTGAGACAAAATTATTAAGTGATCAACACCTAATTCCAGAAATTGTTTGCTAGGAATTAACTTCTATATGTTCTCTCCTGCTTGTGTTCTAAATAGAAAATATGGAATGGAATATGTGATGGATAATTAACTGTGGTACATGCAATCATGGTTCTTAAGCAGTAAAATGTCGTCATTAAGGAAATTACAATTACAGATGCTAAATGGCTTCCCACTAGCTCCAATTACAGCCATTGAATTGAAAAGTCTTCCTTGATGATTAAATTCTGTGTGAAGTTCTGTTCAACAAACATACACATCTAGTTTCTCAATAATACACTGTGGCTACGTCTAGACTGGCCCCTTCTCCGGAACAGTCATGCAAAGCAGGTAAGTCAGAATAGGGAAATCCACGGGGGATTTAAATATCCCCCGCGGGATTTAAATAAAGATGTCTGCCGCTTTTTTTCCGGCTTGGGGAAAAGCCGGAAAAAAGCGTCTAGACTGGCGCGATCCTCCGGAATAAAGCCCTTTTCCGGAGGATCTCTTATTCCTTCTCTTATTCCTACTTTAAAGTAGGAATAAGAGAAGGAATAAGAGATCCTCCGGAAAAGGGCTTTATTCCGGAGGATCGCGCCAGTCTAGACGCTTTTTTCCGGCTTTTCCCCAAGCCGGAAAAAAAGCGGCAGACATCTTTATTTAAATCCCGCGGGGGATATTTAAATCGTAGCCTGTAAGTGTGCATACCGAAGAAAAATATTTACTCTCTGTCAGATGAGCTCAGAAACTTAACCACTACTATTTGGCTTTGACCCATTCCTCTTAGAAATTCCTGCAGGCATCAAACCAGAGTAAGTACTATATTTCCAATGCATAGAAACTTTTTTTTTAATTAAACCCAATTGTCAGTTTGGAATGAACACTGCTTTCTGTAGGAAAGAGAATGTACTCAAGTATATACTCCACAAAGTGGTTGAAGTGGACTATTTCTGACTGTTCCTTCAATTCCTCTCAGGTTGTTTTGACTACCTTGTCAACACAAACACTATGCAAACATTAGCTTATTCCTTGTAAGAGCTCAGGGTATTGGGCTCTTGATCCTTCCGCAAAGGAACAAAGAACTGGGATAGATCAGACACAAAAGGTCATTCCTTTGATATGCAATACCACTGGATTTAGTGGAGTCTGCTAATTAGCATGCTAAAAGCTCTCTGGAAGCAACATGGATCCCTGCAGTAGAACTTCAAAGTCATTTGACTTGTAGATGAATATTACAGAGGAAATTGTGGTTTTATAAATCAAGTTGTCTTTTTTTTTTCTATTTTATCATTCTGACAGTGCGCTTCTCAAACTCCATTGCTTCATTAGTGTATTTTGATTTTCCTCAGTACTACTCCCATCCTGTTCACTCTAATTTTACTGTTACTCATTGTTTTGAATCATGTCTGTCTAGCCAGTGTTTTACATTTTTAGTAACATAGTCATAGGCCCTTACTATTCTCAAGGAATCAAGGAAGAACATTACTATTTAGGGCAACTACGTCTGTATTTCCCCCTGGTCATCCTGCAGGGGCACTCATACTAAGCTCCAAGCTCCTTGGATGTCACTGCTTTTTGGGTGAGGACCAGATTTTTTTCAGGCTGTGCAGTTCCCTGCCCACACTGTGAATTCTCCAGCAAGGCAGACTACCTAGCCACACCTTCATTGGTGCTGTGCTTCTCCTCAAAGGCTATGAAAAGTTTAATTTCCACAGTTATGTTATCACACTGCCCAACACATTTAATCTTAAAATGAAAATATGACAGAGAAAACATAGTAAGACTCTCACCTAGGACAATGAGTGTAGAGATCAGCCTACCTGCAACAAAGGCGCTGATAGGAGATCAGTCCGTAAAGTCCAACCAATGGGCTTTTCTGTGGCTGTAAATACATTATCGAATTTTAATCAGAAGAAGCATCGATATCTATAGGATAGTCTTTCCTTCATACAGGTTGGTTCACAGACTAAGAATATGTACTCAGTCGTACAATGATTCTCTCTTTACGGCATAGCTTCAAAAGGCTGGATTCAGAGGTGGGAATTTGCACTCACTTCTGTGGGGTTATTTCTGAGGAAACCCACTTAAGTTGGTCTGTCATGACAGTACATTCTTGCCTGACAGACTGTTTAAAACAATCTTTTCATGCTCAGAAACTTTCCAGGGTTTGCATGGGCCATCTTTTCATCTACCTGAAAAATCATATACAATTCCACACTAATATGTGAACTTTACATTTATCTCCATTGCAAAGTGTTTGTCACAGATCAATTCAGATTACTATGCTATGAAGCATATTTGATTAAAAAAGACTTCACATTTTCTAATCTTTTGCCCATATCCAGAATCATCTCCATTGAATAGTATCAGAAGGGGTAGCCATGTCAGCGTGAATCTGAATGAACAACAAGAAGTCCTGTGGCACCTTATAGACTAACAGATTTATTGGAGCATAAGCTTTCATGGGCAAAGATACATCTGACAATGTGGGTCTTTACCCACAAAAGCTTATGCTCCAATAAATCTGTTAGTCTATAAGGTGCCACAGGACTTCTTGTTGTTCATTCAGATTCACGCTGACATGGCTACCCCTTCTGATACTATTCAATGGAGATGATTCTGGATATGGGCAAAAGATTAGAAAATGTGAAGTCTTTTTTAATCAAATATGCTTCATAGCATAGTAATCTGAATTGATCTGTGACAAACACTTTGCAATGGAGATAAATGTAAAGTTCACATATTAGTGTGTTCCATGAGTAGTAAAGAAAGTTTGCCTTGGACTGTCTTGTTTCTTGTTCCATGAGGTGTACCGGTAGTTCGGATTAGAAAGCCTAATCTGAACTACCTACTCCGTGCCGCGTGTAGCCGCGGGCACGGAGTCCGAACTACCGGGACTTTAAAAATGACAGCTCCTGGTAAGATGCAAATGAAGCCCGGGATATTTAAATCCACAGGACTTCTCATTGTTGCCACAGGACTTCTCATTGTTTATCTCCATTGAATGTGTCTCGCCATTTCAGTATACATTTAGCAAGAAACAAGACAGTCCAAGGCAAACTTTCTTTACTACTGGAACTTCATGAGTTAGTCTGTACAGAATAAACTTAAAAAACACAAAAGCTCATGATACCATCTACATGTTTTGTTAGTCTATACAGTGCTACCAGACCATCTGTTGTTTTTAAAGTTTTTCTTAATCACTGTTTCGCACACTTCTCAGTAATAAATATAGCACTTTCGAATGACGGCCTGTATTGTTTAAATTTTTTTTGTTCTCTCAATAGAAGAAAATATCGGGTCTGTGTCTCATAAGGAATATCACTGTCTCTTTGAAGTTTACATCCAGGATCTTTCAAATGAGAAGTAATTTTAGTTTATGTTCAACAAGCCCTTTATTGCATAATGACAGTTTCTTCAGTGTCTTCTACTAGTCTTCCATTTCTGGGGAACTCTTCTGATTACTCTGTTCCAGCATTATGGCAAATCCCTGGGTCAGACATTTTTCAATGAGCATTTACTCTCAGACTTGGTATGGATATTTTCTCGGTGACATAGTTTTCCTGAGGCAAGATGCATTTTTTTGTGTTTTCACCACTAATTAAACCATTTGTCACTACAGATGATAGTTACAGTCTTTGCTCTTGGCTATTATAATTTGTCTGAGATTAACAGGGGTTTTCTTTAAGCCAGCACTCACTGCTCCAACCTTCTTCCCCATCAGAGAATTAGATACCTACATATTATTTCATATGATCTGAGTAAATTTTAGGAACTCGTGTTGAAGCTCAGAGAAATACATATTCATTCATATTGTCTACCAAAGACAAGGTCACCTGTGCCAGTTGAGTTTGAGACAAGCACATTCCCAAGGAATAAAGACATAATATTAGATGTCCTTTTTCTGTTCTCACAATGCTCCAGGCAAGGACACTTAGAAAGAAGGAGGAATATAATTAAACATCCATCACACAAGAGCTTACTGACAGTGGGACAAGGACTTGTCTCAGGAGGAAGCGAGTCTTGTTCTCAAGGTCTTCCTAGCACCATGTACAGTCAAAATGAGATAAGTTATCCACACCTGCCCCAGGACTGAAGGTCAATTGGTATAGTGAGAAACCTTTGATACACACCATAAAACTGAAGTCTCCTCAGGGTAATTGCAGTAAAATAAAGTTATGGCACATCCAGTTTTGTTTTTTATATGTACCTCAGAACTGAATCCTTCTCTACAACTAGTCACTTGAACGCAGAACATTAAAACTTCCCTCTTCTCCTTTCTCACCTCCAGCTCTTAATTTCAGAATGGAAGTGTCACTGCTGATCACTACTGTCAATAGTCTCACCTCCACTTATTTTCCAACTGCTGTGGTCTCATGATTAACTCAAGTGCTTATACACAAAGGCCTTATCTCCAATATGAAAAGGTATGTTTTTAAAATGACTTAATCAACTCCATTTAATTAAATAGAGGTAAACCCTATTGAATATAAGGCAGTTGTAGTTTGGACATGAGTTAGCATGTCCAGTACAAGCCTCTGGAGGAACCTAGGGTATGTCTACACTACCACCCTAGTTCAAACTAGGGTGGTAATGTAGTCAACTGGAGTTGCAAATGAAGCCCGGGATTTGAATTTCCCGGGCATCATTTGCATGTTGCCAGGCGCCGCCATTTTTAAATGTCCGCTAGTTCGGATTCCGTGCCCTGCGGCTACATGCGGCACAAACTAGGTAGTTCGGACTAGGCTTCCTATTCCGAACTACCTGTACTCCTCGTTCCACGAGTACAGGTAGTTCGGAATAGGAAGCCTAGTCCGAACTACCTAGTTTGTGCCGCATATAGCCGCGGGGCACGGAGTCCGAACTAGTGGACATTTAAAAATGGCGGCGCCCGGCAACATGCAAAAGAAGCCCGGGAAATTCAAATCCCGGGCTTCATTTGCAACTCCGGTCGACTACATTACCACCCTAGTTCAAACTAGGGTGGTAGTGTAGACATACCCCTAGAGTTTATGTGAATATCCTGCCTCATGGAAAGTCCTGCCTCATGCTGTGAGCCTTCATGAGCATTTCACCTTGCATTAGTTAACTCAAATGAACTAGCTCAAGTTAAGAACACACCTTTTTTGTCTGCCTCTAATGAAGACAAGATTTAGGTTTAGTGCCTTCAAGGCTTAGTGATAGAAATGTAGCCGTGTTAGTCTGGTACATACATAGTCCTGTATTTTGTTTTAAGGCATAGCATTTCCTGAATGGCCATCCACGCTGGCTGCCTCTGATGCAGATTCCTCCTTAACAGCATCTTTCTTTGTTAAAGGAAAGACTTTTTTTGATGAAAGCTAGTGTGAATATCCTCTGATGAGATTTTTTGCTACAATTTTAACTTGAACCTAAATGCGCAAGCACCATTTAAAAAAAACATGCCTTTTTTTTTCAAACAGCATATATTTAAACTCAGATTTATCAAACCTCAAACTCTAATGCCCCTGCTGACTTCTGAATACTCTTCAAGGAAGGAGAATGAAAGCATTCTGAACACCATGGAGCAAAAAAACTACTCTGGAAAAAATATTGACACAGCTGAAAATTGCTCTGCCACAACCACATATTGTGTGTCAGGTTAACATTTCAAAGTTTTTAAGTGACCGAGGAATGTAAGTTCCATTTTCAAAAAGTGACTTTGAGTATGTCAACATAGCAACATTAATTCAAAATAACTAGTGTTATTTTGAAATAACTTAGTCTATGTCTACACAGCAGGCAGTTATTTCGAAATAATGTTGAAATACTGTCAAGCTAGAGGACTTTTTACTCCGAATCCTGTAACCCTCATTGTATTGAGACGTAAAGGAAGTTGGAGGAAGAGTGCTCTGTTTTGAAATAAGTGCTGTGTAGATGCTCCCAATTTTGAAATAAGCTATTTTGAAATAAGCTACACAATTGACATAGCTCAATTTGCATATCTTATTTTCAGTTAAGTCCTGCTGTGTAGATGCACCCTTCGACAAATATGGCCTTCAACACTGTGGAGATGTAATGAGCTTTCAAAAATCATGAGAGTTGGACCTTCAAGAGAGTTTGGCTTACAAATATTAAACTTTAAAAGCTAAGCAAGTTTTGGTGCTTTTTATTTGCCTTAAAGATCCACTTTTTTTAGGATACAGTGAGGTTATATTTCCTAAAGAGTCTCTGTAGCTATAATTGAAATCAAAGGTAAGTACTTGCCTACCTACTTTTTTCCTTCTCTGAAGTAGGCACCTGGTTGGTTGTGATCCATTACAGTTGTGGGTATTCCTAGTCCTCCTCTTTTTCAGAACATAAAAGCTCTTAAGATAAAACAAACAGAAAATCAAGCTACTTTCATTTAATAATGTACTGCCAATAGGTGGAGCTGTTCGAGAACTGACTGTCATCTTTGTTTGGGCAGTTGATTGTGAAGAGACGAATAAATTTTGGTGAATTAATCTTAAAAAAGACAAACCAACTCCACGTGGCAGAAGGATTGCATTAGAATTGGAAAAGGTACAGGGAAGGGCAACAAACAGGATTAGGAAATGGAACAGATTCTATATGAGGAGAGTTTAATAAATGTGGGATGAGAAAATTTTGAAAAGTTGATTGAAGGAGGGAGGTATGATACAGGTCTATAAAATCACAAATGATGTGCAGAAAGTGAATAAACGTGTTATTTACCTCCTCACATTTGAAAAACAGGGGACTAAATAGAGGGGATCAGTCACTTGATAATTTGTTTAGTCTGTTCATTCCCACTGAAGCCTCTTGCAGGGGCAGATGACTGTTTTGCAGGGCCCTGGGCAGCATAACACCACGGGGCCCCCCTTTGCTATGGCGCATGTGCCGTGACGCCATGTGCATGCGCGG